GTTTGGGAGTGGGGGGTGCAGGCTCTGGACTGGGGGGTGGGGGTGCAGGCTCTGGGAGGGAGTTTGGGGATGGGAGGGGATGTGGAGGGAGGGGATCGGGGTGCAGGCTCTGGGGTGGAGTTTGGTGCAGGCTCTGGGGTGGGGTTGGGAGTGCAGGCTTTGGGAGGGAGTTTGGGGCCGGAAGGGGGTGCAGTCTCTGGGAGGGAGCTTGGGGCGAGAATGGGTGTGTGGAATTGCCATATTGGTAGGCAACTGAAGAAACTGAGAAAAATGTTCTTGAACAGTTCACATTCACGGCACAGCAAAGAACAAAAAGACATAGGAAAGTCATGGTAACTACAGAGGGAAACATGGAAATCACGTTGCCCTTTATCCTGATGAAGAAGTTGCAGAAGTGACTCGGATATTCTGTGCAAGGCTTCAGAAAGATTCTAGGCAGGGTGGATAAAAATCAATGATTTAAAAAATAAAATTAAAAAATGGATTTTTTTATTTAAATTGGATATTTTTGATAAAATGCTTTTTGAGGAAAAAACCTATGTAAAGATGGTTTTAATTAAGATACATTATAGCTTAAAGATATCTCATCATGGAATAGTTATAAGTTCTAATTGTATAGTATGAGACAATATATTCATGTAATGTTTAAGAAAAGTTTTGTAAATGAGTTCCAATAGTTCATGGATTAGGACCCAATCTTATGGGGCTCCAGGGTCTTCTGTATAGATTATTTAGGTCAATCTTTCTATCTACCCAATGGGACTTAGTGCTCAGTCTAGAAGATACCATCAGAGCTGCTTAGTTTTGCAGTTCTCAAACAGTGGATTTGTGTCTCCAGAGATAACATGCTTGTTAACAGCAAAAATGTTTTTAAATAAATAAAAAATATATAGAGGTGAGAAATAACAGACCTCAACCTTATTGTCCCTCTGCAAATTTGTGTACACAGAATCAACCCCTTACCTCTCTCTAAAAGTGCAAAGTTTAGAAAAGTGTAATGAATTTGTTAAATGATTGTTGGTGGCGGAATACATCTGGACAAGGAGAAGAAATCTGGAGATAAATGTGAGATGGGAGGGACAGGCAGTAGAAACAAAAGTGAAACTGATTGAGCAGCATATTCCAGAAGTCTTGAGGACTTGCTGAGTGTAGCCTTCGTTGATTTGAGATCTACCATACCATTCTCTCACTAGAAGGGAAAACCTTTAACGGCAGCAGGCCGTAAAAGAGGCCCAGTTTGGGAATAAGAACCATTCAAGAAATATATGTTTGCTGATGTTTTAAAGAAAGTCACACCAGTGAACTTGTGGAAGTCACTTAAGCACTTGGAGTCAGAGACTGTTGAAGCAATAATCTCACTTTTAACAGCAGTAGTTTCTTCTGCCGGTGTAGAAAGAATATTTTCTTCCTTTGGACTAATTCATTCCAAATGGAGAAATCGTTTAGGACCTGAAAAAGCAGGAAAGCTTGTTTTTCTTTTTCAGATTATGAACAAATGGGAAAATGAAGGTGAAGACGACTGAGTTAGCTGCAGAAGCCAATATTTTAACTTTCTCATGTTGACCTGGCTGACATAGTTGATTTAATTATTTTTTTTAAATATGTCATTTAACTATTTTAATTAAAAACAATTTTAACAAAAACAAACTTGATTTTAAAAAACTTGAATGTTTAAATACATTCAAAAATTCATATGCTTGTTTTGTTAAAATATTATGTTTGCTGTTGAAGGCAAAAATCCAGAATACATAATGTTATTGTTTTAGTTAAATAAAACAATTTAAATGTCTGTCTGGTGATGTTCTCCTCCTAATACAGCATGGCAAGAAAATCCTCCAAATATTAATGATTAACCTGTTGAATTAGAGATAGTTCACCTCCCAATAACTTCATAAATATCTGCTTCAATGACGTTCGGTAAATGAAATAACCAAACAATCATTCATTTTCTGATATAGCTGTAAAACTAATCTGAAAAGTTTTCTAAATAAATCACTTTAAAAATGTATAATATGTATCTTCTAAAAATGAAACCTACATCTATCTCTGAGTTGTGAAGAATATGTATTAAGGTTATAACAACCAACAGGAATGCACTTTTATGTAGAAATCCATGATTAAGTCGAGTCTTCCTGACTAGTGATGTAAATCAATTTGATTTAAATCAAATCCACCCTGATTCTAGGTAAGCTAAATGCTTATATTTACTAGATAATCTATCAGTTTAAAAAAAAAGAGATTGTCAGCAATAATTTGAGCTGATATCGTGAAACCAGTTATCTAAATATATAAATTCAGTGATTGACTTCATTACTGTATCTACTGGACTTTAAATATTTGAAATACACAGTGCATGGTTGGACACAGGGTTCAATGTAGCTCTAATAATCTAGCACACAGCACTATACTTCTGCCATCATTGGAATTTTCCCTGTGATGTGATAGGATGAAATTACTTCGCCAATTTAGGGCATCCTAAGTCGAGTAAAATACAGCTATGGGATGGTGGAATAACAGGCAGGAAGTGAGGGATACTTCTGCTCTTGTGGGAATATGCTTCCACAAACACAATAATAAATACAGTGTGTATGTGTTAGCTGCCATGGCGCACTTTAACCTGATCTCCTCCCCCTTTCACAAAGCATGCTCTCATGTATATAGCAGTAATAAAGAATGTGTACAAAACCTGTAATTGTGCCCAACAGTATCTTCTCATTCTTCATTTCTTCCTCTTCCTTACGTTTCTTCAGCTGAGTTGGAGGGGTCACTGCTGTCCATAACATTATTGAGTTTGAAGTAGTTGTGAGGACATTAGCTCAAAACAGGGACAAGTGTTTTTTTGCCATTTGTTGGAGTCCTTGACCTGATTACACTGCAGCCTCAGTGCTTTTGTCTTTTTCTGGTATTGAGGGGTGCTCCATTGCATCATGCTCCCTGCAAGGTGAGCTAGGATTTATTGATAGACCATTGGATAGCATATGACAGTATTCAGATCGGTCTGAATTCCCTTCTCACTTCAGTGTGAAAGCAAGGTCTTTATCTCCCATTTGGACCTAATCTACTGTGTTGGCTTCTCCATTTGGTTTTGGTTACAGATGCCAGCTGGTGCAATCACTTACAAGCTTGTTAGACAATGATGAGTATGCTATGTCCAGAGAAAGAAGTTGATGAACATTTTAAACAGACTGTGGTTTTCTGCTGATGGAGCCTGGATAGCCTTTTAGAACAAGCTTTGGAAGGACAGAGTGCCCAGAGGATACTTTTTGGAGCGGGGACTGTCATTTTTCTTGTTTATAAAATGCCTCACACAGTGGGAGTTGTGGCCTCTTGGTGCTACCTCAATATAAATTATAAACCATAGTGATAATGCTTGTCAGTCTAGGTACCCGCATAAACGTATTATCTGAGTCCTTCAACACATGAGTGTACTCTGGGATGCCTACCTGCACAGAGGCGTGGAAGGAGGTAGGAGTGACCTGGGCACATAACAAAATGACTATGCACCTGATTGCTTAAATGAAGAAAGCTGTACATTAGACTAGGCCAACAGCAGGAACAGCACTTGGTTAATATGCTTGATTATTAACTGTGGGATGTGTGAACCACAACCATGTTTTAAGCTATTGCACTAGTAACTGGTTAGAGGCTCAATTAGAAGTTGTGTGGTTAAACTCTTTATGTTCAAATGAATAGCTTTAAAGCCTGACTGGAATAAGAACAAAAAAGCAGTCATACTGTGTCAGACTAAGGGTCCCTCTAGCCCAGTACCGGTCATCTGACAGTGCCCCGTGCCAGATGCTTCAGAGGGAATGAATAGAACAGGGCAGTTTCAAGTGATACATCCCCTGTTTTCCAGCCCCAGCTTCTGGCAGATGATGATGTCAGGGTAGATATTTCAAAATCTATTTAATATATAAGTATTTGAGTGACTTAGGCAACAGAGAGAACCAAAATAAATCTTTACTGATTCAAATCTGCTTTACATTCTCCTCTATGGAGACGGGTGATGTTGGAACACTTCCAAATAAATGAATGACGTTATTCTTCTGTTTCTATTAGGAATGATTTAAAACACTCAGAATTTCTTTGGACTGAATTGTGTATCAAGTTAAAAGAAACAGAGGAGAAGATTATAAAGGAAGAAAGACACCTTGAAGAGTTAGTAAAGCAAAAAGAAGAGATACAGGAAGATGCTAAATCTTGGAACAAAAAAGTGAGTTTTGAATATTTATAAACAACCAAATAAATAAAACAAATATCTTTTAAACTGAAAAATACATGAAATTCTGTGTGTTTGTAAGTTAAGGTTTCCTGTAATAGCACAAATGAAAGTATTTATTTTGAGAAAATTGAAAATACGTTTGATATAATGGAATTTGTTCATTATTGTGTTACAGTAATGTAACTTTGTTTATGAAGAGTAATAATATAGCATCTTATAGTACTTCATGGGACTGCTGCTTATTCCTACCTGGCACTGCTGACCTTTTCAAACCTTCTGCAATGAAATGCATGCTCAATGGAGCTGCATCAGTGCCGTGTTGAATCAGTGAACATTGGAAGCTGAGAGGTATTGTGATTGTCCCTCTGTACCTGGAGCGATTTCTGTTTTACTTTAAAATTCTCCTTTTTTTTCTTGTTTTCTACTTTTTCTACTTTATTTAGCATATTTTGGGAACTCTGCACTGTTGCACAGTTTATTTTAATATTTGAATTGAAAGGCCTACCACAGGTTAGTTGTCGCCAATCCAGTTTTCAAGAATCTGGATAACAAACAGATGTAAGTGATGTGTTGTGCTCTTCCGTGTTCACTGAAGCAGACTCATGCAGCCACTGTTTATTCTCCCTGGGGGAAATTTTCCATATCACTGCTTACTGTGCAGGGTCTTCAACCTTTGGGCCTAGAGTGATATGCAATGGAGGCAGCAAACCTTTCTCAGCAAGGAGGCTTTATTAGTCTGGCCTTTGAATCTACATTTGGATCCACTGTCTATGGCTGTGAAAGGCAGGTGGCCTTTTATTTCAAAGCCAGGCAAATCAGCAACAATCTGTGCATTGAAGAAATCTGTACAGGGCTGGGTTTACTACCTGTAGTTCCTAAGCCTGTGACTTGAACTGAGGTCTCTTTATCATGAAAAATGTCAGTTCTGAGATGTGAGCTTAGTTGTGCTGACAGCTCATTGGTGCTGGGGCCAGCACTCACTTCTAAAAATCCTATTGGTGCTTTCCCTTTTTTCATAATGAGGACTTCCCAGGTGCTGAAGAAACCTAGTGCAAAACTAATCCTTACTGATGGGTTAATGGCAGATGCTTTTTTGGCATAGAAGAGCCTTGTTGTTGGAACAAGCTGGTGCGGGAATTCCTTCAGTTCAGTGCCAGGATCTTTCCTGACTCCAAAGAAGCAGCATGAAGATGTTGATGTGGGCTTAACCTCAGCATTGTTTCCAAAATCTCAAGTGGGTCTTCACTTTGACAATACATTAGTACTGTTCTCAGCTGTCCTCATGCACAAGGATAAGAAAAAGGGATGTAGAGGGATCTTCAGTGCCAGAGATCTTGCCAGGGTCCCAGAAGAGGGGACATCATTATGGGTCCAGGAAGCATATGACTAAAGTTCCTCTGAAAGGCAATCTGACTGTGCACCGTCCCTTAGAAGAAGCAATAACTAAAAAATTGAGCCAATAGCATTAAAAAAGTAATTGCTTTTTAAATTTTCTTTTTTATCAGTGTTCTGAAGTTCAACAGTTAGTCATAAAAAACAACCACATGGGAAAAGAAGACAAATTAAGTAAGCAGAAATGAAAAATAGCATAATACATGTCCAAAAGTTATAATGGACACATTATTCTTGTCCACCAATATAAATATATTCAGTATCAAACCTGACTTATATTTTACTGTCCAAGTAAATTTTAAAAGGTTGTAAAATTTGCCTGTATAAATCCCAGCTGTTTAATGATTTCATCATACAAATTAGAGAGAGAGAGGAGGAAGGTATTTATACCCAACTGATATGCAGGGGAGAGAGGGGGGGTTACTACCTCCATAGGCCATGCTATCCATTTTCATAACCAGAACAGGCAATTTTTGGTTTAAAAATAGGCTGCTTTAAGCTAGGAACATCATCTGTGGAGCCACTTAAAGAGTCATTTTTGGGTTTCAGGCCCATCCCTTCCACAGACCTCAATGTGGCTGATTTGGTTAGGAGCCAAGTAGTGGCAGAACTATAGTTCTTGTCATCAAATATTCAGATGGTGAGTCCTTTAGATTTCAGGTCATGTCTGAAAAGTCCTGATATTCATAGAAATTTATTTTTAAGTAGAACTGCACTTTAAGCATGTTTGTTGGATTACAAAATAAAAATATACTATAGGAGAGACTGAATTAAGAGCCTCACACAAAATCTTCATCTACAGAAATCTCAAAATAGTCCCATATACGACAACTAGAAATTATGAAATGTGGTCTTTTAAAACACTCAATAGAAGGCAAATATGTAAAGCCAGACTATTTGGGGAAAACAAAACTAGATATACAACAGTTTTTGGATCTAATTTCCATGGTGCTGTGGTGTTTTTTACTGTAACAACAGAGTAATTTTAGTTCAGTTCCATTCATTTTAAATTACTGTTGTATCAGTTTGCATTTTTACATTCTCTCTTTTCATTGATTTTTTTTTTAAGGTTTGTTTTCAAGGGTGAGTCCCAGGTCTGATTGGGTCTCTTCATTTCAAAATATTTTTATTATTAAACATCAGACTTTAATGTTCTCAGAGTCAGTGCCATTGTAATTATAAAATAAACTTGAAGCACAAAGTGTGACATGTAATCATAAGAATCCTATATTCAGTTTTATAAAGTATTTTCTGTGTAGTATTTTTGTTGGTGGTGTTAAATTAGTAGTCAGTTTCCTTGATGGGTCAGACTCTTTCTCTGTAAAGATTTTGAAGTTGTGCATGAAGGCTTTATTTTGGCCAAGTTATAAATATTTGAAAAATGTTAGTTCTGTGCAGCTGCAGGCTGGGGCCATGCACTGGAACTGAGAGCAGGTAACCTGTCTCTTCTGTGCTGTCAGTGTCCCCCCTGCTGGGCTAAGAGAATATAGAGAAGGAAGCTGCCTTATTCAAATGCAGTGGAGACAACAGCCAGACCTGGAGCAGGGGAGTAGATTGGGACTGTAGGCGGGCAGGGATGATGGAGAGAGAAACTGGGATTGGGAGTTGTGGGGAGAGATTGGGACTGGCTGGGCAAGGAGACTGGGCCTGAATGTCAGGGAAGAAAATAGGAAGGGCTGGGATTCTGCCAGCGTGGGGGAGACTGAGATTGGACGAGGAGCCAGGAAGTGAGACTAGGACTGATTGGGCAAGGAGACTGGGACTGGGATCCAGTGGGGCAGTGAGAAGGAGGGAGACACATGACAATGAGATGAGGTGTGGGGGAAAACTAAGACTGTCTGGGCAAAGAGGCTGTCAGAGGGAACCTGGGGAGGGAGAAAATTGGAATGGGTGGGTAAGGAGACTGGAAAAGGGGGATGAAAGACTAGGACGGGGAGTGAGGGGAGAAAAGGACTGTGACAGGGAGTCTGGAAGGGTGATACTAGAACTTGCTCTGTAAATAGATTGGGACTGGGATGAGAAGCCTGAGGGGTGGAGATTGACTGAGTAGACTAGGAGAATAAGATTGGGACTGAGCCAGGATGGGGTAGAGTCAAGACTGGGACAGGGAGGGGTTGGAATGGATGAAGCAGGGGTGGAGGAGGGTCAGAATTGTCTGTGCTTAGTAGAGAACACTTCTTTAAAGAACCTGGACTGGAACCCAATATTTCTGAGTCTCGTCATTCCTCTGCTGTGAGCAAATGTCTGTACAACCCACTGGCAAAGAGTTCCATTCCCTTTTAGTGCTGGTGTACATAGAGGATGACAATGTACTATTGCTGTAAATTACACCATTAGCTCAAATGGCAAAGGTTGGTGCAATGGATCTAAAGTTTCCAGCCCTGCTGATGACTCATTTGATGATACCACAGGATGGAATTTGTTGGTTTGGTTTTTTAAATCTTAGTTAATTATATGCACACAAACTATGTTAAAGAAATGTTATAAAGGGTGCAAAGTCAAGTACTCAAAAGTTAGGAAATGCCAGACTTAAGGTTGCTTATGCACCTTAATTTGGCTTCCCTTCTGGGTATGCATTATGATGCAGTCTTTAATTACATAATCACATACTGTTTTCCACAGGACTCCTACCTCAATCAGTGCACAGGATGAACCTGCTCTGTGGATGGAGCACGGTTATGTAGTGAAGGAGGATGTTGAATATAGGACTCCTGCCTCATTTGTTGCAGAAGTTGGAAGGTGTGTAGTGAGTAAGGAGGCAGGGGACTGCAGGAAGAGAAAGGATGATCTCATGGGTAAGGCAGTTGAATGTTGCCCTAGAGAACTGGATTCTATCCCTATCTCTGCCACAGAGTTCCTATATGATGCTAGGCAAGTCAGCTAAACTTTTTACAGGAGGTCACCTATTGTGTATTCCTCCTTTTCTGGGTGCTCATGCTGAGACCCGACAGTCTGATTTGCAGAAGTGCTGAGCACTTATAGCTGTAACTGAAGTGAGTGGGAGCTGTGCTTTGAACATACAAAGTGCTATATAATAATTCTAAGTACAGTACTCTGAAAAGTCAGATCCTAGCATTCTCAAATTTGGCAACCAAAGATACTTTTGAACTGTATTATTATTTATTATTTGTATAATCATAGCATCTAGGAGTCCTCAATCATGGACCAGGACCCCAATGTGCTGGGCATTGTAGAAACAAAGAACAAAAAGACAGTCTCTGTGCCTCAATTCCCCATCTGAAAAATGGGAATAATAATACATTCCACAAGGGTATTGTGAACATAGATTTCATGAATGTTTGGGAAGCATTCCAATTATTAGCATGATGGGTGCCATAGAATAGCCCATGAGGAACTTAATAATTGTGTCTTTAGAGCAGAATTTGAATTGTGTGCAGTAGATAAGGCATAGTGCCACACATTGAACAATGAGGATAAAATAAAATATTGAATAGCTGCTCATTAAGTGATCACAGCATAGTCTCTACACTGAATGAGACAGGGGAAAATAGTATGTGATCATGTAATTTAACATTTTATCCTAATGCATATGCAGAAGGGGGCTGAATTAAGATTGCAGTCAGTATTTGCTAATTTTT